TAATATCTTTATTTATGGCTTAATTATGACACTTTATAGGTTTTCGGTTTCCGCCATTTTGTGGGCGTAGCAGTGGGCCGATTTTGCCCATCTTCGAACTTAACCTTCTTATGGAGCCAAGAAATACGTGTACCAAGTTTCATCATGATACCTCAATTTTAACTCAAGTTACAGCTTGCACGGACGGACGGACAGACAGACATCCGGATTTCAACTCTACTCGTTACCCTGATCACTTTGGTATATATAACCCTATATTTGACTCTTTTAGTTTTAGGACTTACAAACAACCGTTGTGTGAACAAAACTATAATACTCTCTTTGGCAACTTTGTTGCGAGAGTATAAAAAGTTAAAAAAAAAAGTCTCATTAATTTGTCATTCAAAGGCATTTAATTTCTAAAATGTCATTAATTGTTAAATGGCACTAACATATCTAAGTTTTAAGTACATAGCAACAAAGCCAATACCAATAGCGCGCTTTAATACTCTAAACCTTGCCTTCTAATGATGCATGACTGGTTTGGAATGTAGGCAATTTGTTGTTGTAATGCAAGCATAACAAATACACTCATTTGTGCTCGTGCTTATAACTTATTCACATCATCATTCGGTGTGAAGGCTGTCAGACCCATTGGAATGGACAGCTAGACATTGATTTAAACATTAATACTATTGTGATGTTTAATGATTACCGCTTCTAACTTTAAATCTGTTTCGAACATATTTAAGACAATGGTACAGTAATATGGGAAATGCTCAATTAATTTTCACTATCTCTCGAACACACTCTTTGTTGTGGGGAAGTCCCCACATGCCACAGGCAGGCGTCTTGGCCGATGGTGATTGCACTTATCCCCTTTTGCTCGCCTTTCCAGAGTTGACAACGTCAAGGAGGCAACCCTCTGAAGGAGTTCTTGTTGCGACCTGGTACTAAACTAGACGGGTGAGTTAAGTACGAGTCTTGATATATGAATATCCTTAATCATAATATCAAATTCTGGGGTGCTGTCAATGAAATATCTACCACACACTCATCCTCAATTCCGTGGGTTTTTTATCCAGAATCTTCAATATTGACTCGAAGGGCATTAAGCTACCCTACTCCTAATGAGTACGTAAGTCTTCAGGAGTCCAGGGACCTCCACGTTACGCAAAATTGCAGCTTGAAGTAATATTACAGCTCTGGCAGTCTGTGCACCATTGAGCGAATGCTCTCGAACTCCTTCCAAGGAGTTGACTGCCTACCAGCAGACTCACCTTCGATACGAGCCATGTAAATTTTGAGAATCGAACTGTTCGAGGACGACGACAGTATTAAATCCAGTAGACCATCACTCATTTTCAGCTAGAGCCCTACTAACATAAGGGCTAGATACAACAATCAGTATCAGTAGAGGCCCCGGATCATTCTCACTTTTTTCTGAACTTGGTTTCTATCTCGATAGGGTTTTTCTTGGATGACGAACTTGTTTGATCCCCGGTGAGTGGGGTTAGAGTCTGCAGAAGCTGAAGCTGTGGGAGGATTATCATTGCGTGGATGCAATGTGTAGTATCTATGCTAAGGTTCTCACCTTCGCTCTTTTCGGTTATGTGCACTTTTAAAGTGATTCGATCTTTCGCTAATTCCTTTTACTTTCCGAAACACTTACTGGAAGCTAATTGGAGTACCTCAACCCATCTCCTCTCCTATTTTGGGACTAGCGATGGCGGAATTTGGGTTTCTATTTAGACAGGAGAGCTGAATGAAAGCATGGCGGCAGCTTAAAATAAATATTCACAGTGGTATGCCTTCTCCAAATATATAGATGAAGTGGAAACTACACACATCAGCATTAAAAGCACTGATAAGTTGAACTCCCTGAAACTCCATTTTAATCCAACATATTTCCACTGAAATTTACTTAATGATTTTTAGTGTTGTTCTAAAGAAAGGAAGAGAAGGAGCTTGTATTTTGTTGAAGCTGCAATGTATTGTACAGAAACCAAAATCTTCTTCCGCTTACTAAAACACGAATGTATACGACTGCTGTGCCGTGAGGGAGGCGAACATTGTTGGCTTTAATTAGAAAGCCAACAATGTGCAATTAGAGCAACACACACAGGCATAATGGGCGACGAGCATGCCAACAGCCACTGAATAGTGCATGGTAACGAAATTTAGCGGAAGTTAAGAAACAACAACAACGCGCTGAGCAAATTATACAACATAAATTCTGTTGCCGTGGTGCAACAACAACATGAAATAACAAAAGCTTAATGTGGCGGCGGAAGACAGCAGACAAACGGCGACGAGCAAAGAGCGAAGAGCGAGAGAACACTTCCGTTGCGCACATTTGCAGCAAAAGTAAAAACACAAACAACTTAACGAAGGTAGAGCCGCGACATTAGTATACAATGCAGGTCAGGCCAAACTAAAAAGTTTAATTTGCTAAAATTAGAAAGAAAAAGAAATAAATATATGAGGGAAAAGGAATTGCTGACATTGCCAAAACACCAAAAACCCGAATTGAATTGTATACATTGGATTTGTGCAGAATGTAGATCAACACCGAGAGGACTTTGTGTTGGCTTTCCTGTGAGTTGGCCGCACTTGTCAATGCTGATTCTTACTCTTTGGGCGAATTTTACTTTTCCCAATTTGACACAAATGCCGAAGTGAAATAAAATAACGGAGGAAACACAACGGAACGAAAACGACTGAAAAGCAAAGTTGAATTGAAGTCAAAATGTCCCAAGGGCCAGTTAAAACAAATGCTCTGCCACAGCCTTTGACTGAGTATGATTGAATTAAAGTGTGCCTCACACACACACACCAGCACTCTTACACATATACATACACTCTGTCGTACGCCTACATCAAGTCGAGGTAGTGAACTGTGAAAAGTGTGGCACTTGCCAATGTATGTGTGTATGTAAATACAGCGCAGTTGTGTGTGTATGTGCGAAGGGACGGTATTTCAGCTGGCTGATTGCAAGCACAGGTGTGTAGGTGAGTTTAACCAAGTCTCGCTTCTGCGGTTGCTGGTTATCAGCAAATGTGTATTAGTGGTGGTTGGTGTGCAAATATTGACACTCATTTAAAATTACAACACTCCGAGGACGAATGATGAATTGCCCGCATGCATTGTGGTTGTAGTTGTGTGGGCAAGGGATATCTAAGCATTGTTGCAGTGTGTGTGTTCTGTGTTGGTGTAACCGGTACATTTTACACATATTCCTGACATATTTAATGCAAGAAATGATAAAGACATTCGCATTTAACTAATGGCCAACACTGTGCCTTAGAAAGTTCGGTGTGTGTGTTTATATCACACATATAATTGTATATGTGTTAGTGTAGCTGTAACTGTGTGTTCTGCTGACCACAAATGTTTAAATGAAGTGTAAATATCTTCCGCCACAACCACACCATCACAGCGTTGGCAAATATATGCCGGCACAGGCCTTTTGCTGGAGCCATTGTCAAGTGCTTGAAATGTAAATACAAGAAACGTTAAACAGTGAATTAAACTTAGCAAGTGTATGCTTGGGCAATTCTAGAAAAACTAAGACGGGTTTGCGTTAGCGTATGCTGCAGATAAGTCTAATTTGAAAGCTGCAAAATATATAAAAAATGTGAAATAAAAAATATTTTTTCAGAGCTTTTTCAATATTTTCAAACATTATTATTATATATTT